CACTCAAACTCATGTCCATTGAGTTGGTGATGCCATCCAACCATCTCATTCTCTGTCGCCCTCTTCTCTTTCTACCTTCAAAGTCTACTGGTTGAATTTATATTGCAACCAAAAGTAAAAAAACTGCTATCAATTTATATTGCAACCAAAAGTATAAATGAATCAATTTATATTACAACTAAAAGTATAAAAACTGATAATCACAAACCCTAGCATTGCTGTATACTATCTTTCACTTAATATTTGTCCATTCTATGGCCAAAAATAGTTTAATTTTGTTTTAGTTTAAATTTTTCATTTATTTATTGGCCAAAGTTAATATTCTTTTCCAAGTTACCCATTCATATTTTTTGCCCATATTTTACTGGATACTTGCATTTTTTTTAATTGATAAAGTCACCCACAACTCTTTGTTGAGTAATAGAGTTTATCTGTATATTAGCCAAAACCTCCAAAACTTTTTCTATGAATGATGCTATTTAGAAACAACTCTCCTGTCTCATATATATCTTACAGTTGTGGCAGTCATCTATGTTTCATTTACATGTCTCCTTATTAATTTTCATTTTGTTAAATTCCCTATGTTGTTGCAAACTGTTAAAAATAATTTTATCCCAATGCTATCACATTTCCCCCCTATTCTGAGACATCCACCAATCTAACCCATTTTTCTACATATTTACTTGAGTGCAGGGTAAAAGGTCATAGGACAGACATGACTCTTTGAGAGACCTGAGACCTCCTTGCAAGGAAACATCATTCACCATTTCCTTGAATTATGTCAGAGTTCTCATTCACTTATTAATATGTGTCTGCCCTCAAAGGTACAAATAACGAGTCAAAGGATACAATGGCCCCAGATCACAGGTAGCTAACATACTACTGAGATAAACATAAAGCAAATGTTCATACAAACAATCATACAAGTGTTGTAACGGCAAGTTCAGCCATTCGCAGGTGGGCCTGGTCCAGATGTTTCCTGTGAGTTGAACAAAGGTATTTTAGCTTAATGCTCACTATCATGGAGACAGAGTTCCCAGAGATGGTCCATTGGGTACACTTTAAACTGTAGGCAGCATCTATTTAGCGATTGCACGCACGCACGCTATGTCGCTTCAATTGTGTCCGACTCTTTGTTACCCCATGGACTATATAGCCTGACAGACTCTGTCCATGGGATTCTCCAGACAAGAATACTGGAGTGGGGTGCCATGCCCTCCTCCAAGGGATCTTTCCACCCCAGGGATCAAACCTGTGTCTCCTGCGACTCCTGCATGGCAGGCAGATTCTTTACCACTGAGCCACCAGGGAAGCTCCCTTTAGTGATTCAGTTCAGTCACTCAGCCGTGTCCAACCCTTTGCAACCCCATGAACCACAGCACGCCAGGCCTCCCTGTCCATCACCAACTCCAGGAGTCCACCCAAACCCATGTCATTGAGTCAGTGATGCCATAATCACTAATCACTTTAGTGATTAACTTATAGCAAAAACAATAGAATACTAAAGTTAAAATAAAAGAAACAGATCCAATAGGGAGTCAGATTTGTTCTTCTGTATTACACTGACCTGGGGCTTCCCTGGTAGCTCAGGAAGATCTGAGTCAGGAAGATCCCCTGAAGAAGGAAATGACAAATCACTCCTGTATTCTTGTCTGAGAAATCTCATGGACAGAGGAGCCTGGAGGGCTAGGATCCATGGGATCACAGAAGTCAGACACAACTTAGCAACTAAACCATTACAACAAAGTATAAGAAAAAGATCCAATATGGAGTCAGATTTGTTCTTCCCTATTACACTCACACGGATGCAGGCAGCATGGATCTCTTCTCTCCTGAAAATGCTTATTCCTTGCTGGTCTAAAGTTCATTTAGATTTATTTGCAACTTATCCACTGGAGAAGGGATAGTCTACCCACTCCATTATTCTTGGGCTTCCCTTGTGGCTCAGCTGGTAAAGAATCTGCCTGCAATGTGGGAGGCCTGGGTTTGATCCCTAGGTTGGAAAGATCCCCTGGAGAAGGGAATGGCTGCCCACTCCAATATTCCAGCCTGGGGAATTGCATGGACCATACAGTCCATGGGGTCACAAAGAGTGGGACACAACTGAGCAACTTTCACTTTCACTTTCTTTTCAACTTTCTGATGGGTTTTTTAAATGACTAGTGTGTAACTAATCTAGCTTTATCATGTTGTTAGGATGAGAGCCACATTCTCTAATAACTGTCTAAATCACAACTGAAAGCTCATACAGAGCTTTTTAATATCCCATGCCTATATTTTAGGCATGTAAATGGTTTCTTGAGAGTCCCTTGGACTGCAAGGAGAACATACCAGTCAATCCTAAAAGAAATCAGTCCTGATTATTCATTGGAAGGACCAATGCTGAAGCTGAAGCTCCAATAGTTTGGCCACCTGATGCGAAGAGCTGATTCACTGGGAAAGACACAGATGCTGGGAAGGATTGAGGACAGGAGAAGAAGGGGCAACAGAGGACGAGATGGTTGGATGGCATCACCAACTCAATGGACATGAGTCTGAGCAAACTCCAGGAGATAGTGAAGGACAAAGTCTGGCATGCTGCAGTCCATGGAGTTTGCAAAGAGTCAGACACGCCCTAGTGACTGAACAACAACATTTTAATAAAAGCTATTACATAATGAATTATAGCTATGTTTTTTTCCTTCTCTTTTTTGTAATATTATAATAAAAATAATCTGAACTAGAGAATCTTGTCTCTAAGAGAAGCCTTCTTTTAAGTTCCCCTTCAATATGAGTGGCAGTGATCAGTCAGTTAATTATGAGTTTCTCCAGTTTTATGCATTTCAGACCATAATTCCCATCTTTAGATTCTTTGTTCCTGACTGCGCTTCTCACCAACGGCTCTGTCCCCCTGCTTCTCTGACTCCAACTCTCTTCCAGGCCAAGAAAAATATAGGACAAGCTTCTGTCTGTCCAAATATTAGACTTTTTAGAGCTGAAAATAAACATGTAAGTAAATGTGTGTCCTAATTCCTACAGTGCTATGCTTTCTGTCCCAAATCAGATCTCATTCCCTAGCACAGAGGAAACTTCTGGGGAAACAAATCTCTAGCCCCATTTGGATTTAACTAAATGGAACTGCATTTTCAGTGCTAAAATTGTGTTGTAATTAGACAAAATTACGAATGGCTCTTTTCATAGTGAAAGGAAAACGTAAGTGACCCTTTAATTAGGAATTGAGCATCTTTTTCCATTTCGCCTTCAGGAAGTCCTGTCAACAAACTTGAAAAGCACACTGTTTTGCAGATGGCACCACACTGTGGTTCATTCCTCACGCTCATCACTAAATGTAGCAGAACATTCTTTTGTCTCTACATCAGACACTAACCAAGGATCCAAGGCCTGGGAGAATATAAATATTTTCATATAAAAAAGAATTATAACCTGATTTTCTGCTCCTTCACCCAGATGTTTGCATTGTTGGTATTTTTTATCAACTCCACTGCAGACTGATCTTCAAAGTGATAAATGCTACTGAAATGCTTTATTTTCTTTTTCCCATAATGTTTTTCTTAAAAGAAATCCAGAGCTGGCAAAATATTAAGTCATATATCTTTATAACTAGCTAAATCCAAGGTGATTATGATATTCTACCATTTCCCTCCCAAGGAGGTAAAGTCAGGTCATGCGGGTCCATGGCCAAGGAGGGCAAGGTTCGGCTTGAGTTTGAGTAGTCCGACTAAGTCCAAGAAAGAAAGAGGTGAAAAAAAGCCAGTGAGGCAGTATAATCATGCCTGAATAAAATGCTTAAGGCTAATCACTGGTGACTCAGACAGTAAAGAAACCGCCTGCAATGTGGGAGACCTAGGTTCGATCCCTGGGTTGGGAAGATCCCCTGGAGGCGGGCATGGCAACCCACTCCAGTATTCCTGCCTGGAGAATCCCCATGGACAGAGGAGCCTGGCAGGTTATAGTCCACGGGGTCGCAAAGAGTTGGACACAACTGAACAATTAAGAACACAGCACAATCCTAGTGAAGTCAAGTCCATTTTAAAGACCAAGGATAAGTTTGACAAGTCAGGAGCCAGGGAAACAGAAGACTGGAGCAGTTGATTTGGAGCAAGCCAGGGACAAGGCCATCTGGCCCAGTATATCTATTGTGAGAAGAACATGTTCTTATCAGACACTGGACACAGGACACTGGGTTATATAGGGGCTGATTGGAAGATGTGGAGTTCACTAAGGATAGGAGAGATCCCCACATTCCCAAATTGGAACCTGAAATGTCCTCATATTTCTTCTGGACTGAAAATCCTCAATGTTTCATTGGCCCATTCCAAAAGATGCAATAGAACTGAGGGAAATCTCTACCCTTCTCTCTCAAATGGCAAGCGTTTACATAAAAAACCTATCTGTTCTCTGGGTCTGTGGCTCACCTCTACCCTCCACCACCACTGGGCACCTTAATTCTAATAATAGCTTCCTAATTCTAGTTTTAATGTACCCAGTGTATCCCATAATTGGACCTTTATATCTAAAGTTCCAAAAATTGGAGCTCTAACTTAACCTTTGGAAGTTTTATTCCTTGGAGACAGTTCCCACTTAAATCACAGGGTAAGTTTAAGGCTCAAGTACATGTAGCTTGAGCTCCTGGGCACCATCCCCACCTGCTTGGGTTCAGAGAAATAACCAATCCAGAGTCCTCACTAAGTTCTTTAACCACTTCCCTTGGATCTTTGGTCTATCATGGCCACAGCCTTCAGACACCAGTGGCTGAAGCCATTGAGCTCAGCCAGCAGGCCAGCCCTCATGCTGCCCTGCCATTTGCACTGAGTGACTCTGTTATCAGACCAGTCTGTGGTTAGCCCTTTCCTTCAGAGGGAAGCACCTGGAACAATGGCTGTTGGGATCAGCTTATTGGAACTTAAGAGACTGCAGTTTTGAGTGGGCAGCCAAAGAAATAGAGAGCTCTGCAATAAGCGTAGGCTGTGTGACAAGGAGGCCTGCTGGCACTTGAGCCAATGGACAGAACAATGATGGAGTACACGGTGGGTAAATCTGTCACGTGGAGTTTTCGACAAGCCACAGTAGGAGTCATAACACAGAAATCTGAAGTTATGGAGCATGTAGTCTGCAGCAGAGAATTATATACCATTTGGAAAAAACTCCAGGTATACTATGGCAGTGATGGAGAGTCTGGCCATAAGGCATCAACTGAACATGTCACTGGAGCTGTCCCTCATGAGCTGGTGCTGTCAGATACACAATAATGTAAAATCAGGTGGGCACAGAAGTGTCCACGAATGGATGGCCCAAATTCCCATACCACTCATCTCTGTTACAGTGACACTTATTCCTCAGGACACACTGTTGTGTCATGGAGAGGAACTTCCCAGGTGGCTCAGTGGTAAAGAATCTGCCTGCTAATACAGGAGATGCAGGAGACATAGGTTTGATCCCTGAATTTGGAAGATGCCCTGGAGGAAGAAATGAAAACCCATTCCAGTATTCTTGCCTGGAAAATTCCATGAGTAGAGGAGCCTGGTAGGCTGCAGTTTGTGGGGTTGCAGAGTCGGACACAACTGAGCATTTGACCACATATGAACTCATGCACACCATGGATTGGAGAGGAGTAGGATGAGTTCTATGCAACTTAATAGAGGAGGAAAAGAATATAGGCCTGATTTATGAATAGATCAGCTCAATATTTATAGAAGCCAAAAATAGACTGCTGCCCCACTACAGCCTCATGAGTGACCCAGCTTCAAGTGATGTATTTGGTCATGTACTTTGTATGACTATGCATAGACTCCTGGGTTATGGCAAACACCTTGGCTGGTTGGTCAGGCACTTGGAAGATGTGGACTTGAAAGATCAAGAACAAGCAGATTTAAAGAAAAAACATGTGGAAAAACTTCAAGAATGGACACAAAATATATGAATGTGTAAGATACACATTAATGCCCATAAGAAAGGATTCAATGTAAAAGAACTGTTAATAAAATAAAATTCAAGTAAGTAACCTTGAAGACCTAATTGGCTTTATTCAAAGATTTCTGAATCAGACAGCATCCTATCTGGCAAGAAGAAAGGCATTCCGAGGAGCTGTACAATTTGAGGCATAAGTACCACCTCAGCTATCACTCCATAGTTTCTGAAAACTTTGTTGATTTCATTTTATTTTGTTCTGAATCTCTGTGGCATTCACAGATTACAACTTCAGATTCAAATTTTCTAACTTCGTCATTCCCATCATTTCTTTTTCAACATTCCAGTCTTAGGGAGATCATTTGCCTGGTGGTTAGCAGCTGCAAACATGCACTTAAAGATTTTGAGTGAATACAATAATATTGGAGATTATTATGAATATTATAAGCAGGATAATCCCCAATGTTTAGAATGAACTTTGGAGCCATGGTCCCCAAGACTCAAACCAATCAAAATCAAATAAAGCAAAGAAAGACCTTTTTAAGCCAACTGTCTTGTTCAGTGATCTTATGTAACTGAGGTTTAGTTTTTCTGTAAGTGCTAATGCAAGTGCATCTTGACCACAGCATAGACACATCCTTGTTTAGCTAAAATATAATCAAAGGTTATTCTATTACCAAGAATAAATTTGGCCAGAGAGTCTAAGGATTTTTGTTGGGTAGCTTTCGCTTTAGCAGCAGATTTTGCAACATGTTCAATAGTTAAGAACAGTTTCCTGATCTTAACTTCATTTGTACTTACCCCTAACAAAAGAAGTAGAGCCTTGCCAAAAAAAAAAAAAAGGTGAATCCTAAATAATAAATACCTCCTGTTAGCTCTCTTCTAACTCAACAATGTAAATCCAGGGAATCTAACAAATGAAGTGTCTTGGTTTATTTATAGACAGTTAGGAGCACAGTTAGATAACCTAAAAGGCATTGTCCAGTCATGTGCCAGCCATTGAGGCATTAATAAGCTCAAGGAGAAAATTAATCACTACAAAGATAAATCCTGTGAGGGTATAAACCACTTCCATTAAGGTGGCACAGTTAATGGACTAACTCTCAGATACTGTTTCATTTGCCTGTTCAAGCCAGGAATCAGTTAGATTTTATTTTTTTTCCTAGCCTGAAACTACAAAGCATCTTCAAATTCCAGAGATTGCTTCCTTTGCCAATGGCTTAGGAGACATGGGTCTCCAAGACAATGAGGGGGAAAGACAGGGCTTCATGTTTAAATTATGAAGTCTTGATTCAGTGTCTTGGGCAGAAGCAGTCAACATTGATTCAACTACCTTTCTTCCTAGTTAGTTAGACTTTAAGGTTTAGAGCATTCAGACAGGACCAGATGTCAGGCAGAGCCTTTTTGGCTGTCAGATGTATATTAAGGTTCAAACCCCTGTAGTTTGGCTGCCATTGGGTAAAGAGGAGGGGTTTGCATAGTCCATTTCAAGGAAATTCAAGAGCAGTCTTTCTCTTGGTAATTCTAAATCAGAAGGATGCGAGAAAATTGGAAATGTCAGCTTGGAGAGTTGTAGTCAGTCATTTGAGGAAACTAGAAGAATGCAGGATCCAGTCCAGTTTGCATATAACGAAACCTCAAAGACAATTAATAGGATTAGAATCTAATATTTACAAGTGTGCAAACATAATTTTTTTCTCTCTACAGTTACCCCCATTTTTATCAAAGTTCACAATGAGACCATTTTTTCTGTTTTGCATTAAAATTGGCCTGATTATTTACATTAGTTTAGCAAGAAGAGTGATCGACCAGATAAGGTCTTTCAAAGACTGCTTTGATGGACATTTTTAGTCTCAGATACCCTAGATTTGTCATATACGCTGCTTCATTTAATCAAAAAAAATCAAAGAGGAATGTGTTATCAACACTCCCAAAAAAAAAAAAAAGTCTTTCAGGCCAAGAAGCCAAGTCAAAGACTCACCACTAGATTTTACCTGCGATGCTATCTCAGTCAAAGCCTTGGAAACACAGTGCAGCCAGTGTTTCCAATTGTGTTCTATTATAAGAACAGATTCTTATTGAACTTATATAAATAACTACTGGAAGGATTAGGTAGGAGAAAAGCTAAATATTTTCATCTTTGACTACAAAGGTATAATTTACTAAATTGCTGTAGGTCTTGAGTAGCTTAAAAGAAACAATTTTCTCAAATTTGGTTAAGTAGCAATGTTTCAAAAATGAAGCCATAAAAAATTACAACTATTCTCCTCTCTTCATTCAGTCCTATGCTGTTAATTCTTGTTTTGTTTAACTGTTTTTCTCCCCTTCACCCTGGAAATTCTTACACAGATCAGTTCTATGTATTTAAAGATAGCAGAATCCTGTAATTATCAAAAGTCCTTTCTTTTTGAAAATGAAGTACTCTTACAGGAACACTTTTACAAAAGCTCTCTGTAAATGACAAAGATTTTTAAATGCCCACTATTGGAGCTCATTTGATAAACAAATGTAGTCATTTTTGTGATGTATAACATTTTATGAAAACAACTAGAATTATGATGACAGCATTCAGTTCAGTTCAGTCGCTCAGTCATGTCCGACTCTTTGCAACCCCATGAACTGCAGCACGCCACGCCGCCCTGTCCATTCCCAACTCCTGGAGTTTACCCAAACTCATGCCCATGGAGTTGGTGATGCCATCCAACCATCTCATTCTCTGTCGTCCCCTTCTCCTCCTGCCCTCAATCTTTCCCTGCATTAGGGTCTTTTCAAATGAGTCAGCTCTTTGCATCAGGTGGCCAAAGTATTGGAGTTTCAGCTTCAACATCAGTCCTTCCAATAAACACCCAGGACTGATCTTTAAGATGGACTGGTTTGATCTCCTTGCAGTCCAATGGACTCTCAAGAGTCTTCTTCAACATCCCAGTTCAAAAGCATCAATTCTTCGGTGCTTAGCTTTCTTTATAGTCCAACTCTCACATCCATACATGACCACTGGAAAAACCATAGCCTTGACTAGACGGACCTTTGTTGGCAAAGTAATGTCTCTGCTTTTTAATATGCTGCCTAGGTTGGTCATAACTTTCCTGCCAAGGAGTAAGCATTTTTTAATTTCATGGCTGCAGTTACCATCTGCAGTGATTTTGGAGCCCAAAAAAATAAAGTCAGCCACTGCTTCCACTGTTTCCACATCTGTTTGCCATGAAGTGATGGGACTGGATGCCATGATCTTAGTTTTCTGAATGTTGAGCTTTAAGTGAACTTTTTCATTATCCCCTTTCACTTTCATCAAGAAGCTCTTTAGTTCTTCTTCACTTTCTTCCATAAGGGTAGTGTCATCTGCATATCTGAGGTTATTGATATTTCTCCCAGCAATCTTGATTCCAGCTTGTGCTTCTTCCAGCCCAGAGTTTCTCGTGATGTACTCTGCATTACACTGGGATATATCAGACTCTCTGGAATTGCACACAATTTCTGAAATACTTATAAAATATACATATGCAAAAACAACATAAAAAAGGTTTAGTGATACTTTTTATCTGACAGTGCTTCCCATGTAATTTATTTTTTTAATTAATTTATTTATTTTAATTGGAGGCTAATTACTTTACAATATTGTACTGGTTTTTGCCAAACATCGACATGAATCAGCCTCGGGTGCACATGTGTTCCCCATGTGCTATATACTAGGTCATGTGCTATATACTATATAAAAATATACTAGGTCAAATAAGATCATAGATTACTGTGAAACAATATTTAGTCACCTATTTAACCAAAGTGACAATTAAAGACGTCTCTGGCACACAAAGTTACATAGTTGCAAAACAAACAAAAAGCAAACCCTAGCTCTTTCAGTAGAGAAGACTGCTTTCTTCAGTTCAGTTCAATTCAGTTCCTCAGTCATGTCCAACTCTTTGCGACTTCATGGACTGCAGCACACCAGGCCTCCCCGTCCATCCCCAACTCCCCAAACTCATGTCCATTGAGTCGGTGATGCCATCCAACCATCTCATCCTCTGTTGTCCCCTTCCTCCCACCTTCAATCTTTCCCAGCATCAGGGTCTTTTCAAATGAGTCAGTCCTTCACATCAGGTGACCAGCGTAGTAGAGTTTCAGCTTCAGCATCAGTCCTTCCAATGAATATTCAGGACTTATTTCCTTTAGAATGGACTGGTTGGATCTCCTTGCAGTCCAAGGGACTCTCAGAGTCTTCTCCAAAACCACAGTTCAAAAGCATCAATTCTTCGGCACTCAGCTTTCTTTATAGTCCAACTCTCACATCTATACATGATTACTGGAAAAACCATAGTCTTGACTAGACAGACCTTTGTTGGCAAAG